AGGGGGACACAATTCTTAAATATACTGCTAGTTCCTACAATTTCATGTGCACCCTGAAGCAAGTGACATCTGATCGTGCTTTTTATAGAAAATCACAAATATGGCAAGCAATAAAATAGAACTTCATCTCTACATATATTCTGTTTGTTGACCTCTGAGTAGGTCTTAACATGAAATTTTAAATCAATACCAAATTCCTGTTTTCCAATATATGGAAGCAAAGGTGCAGAGCCAATTATTCAATTTTATCCACCCTTGATATAGGTCAAACAATATATAGCCCCGGTTTGGTATTGATTAAGATCAGATTAAATCTCAAGTCAAAGTCAACATTTAATTTTAATCACACATTTTATGGGACATACAACTTTTCAATTACATATTTCATCCACTTTTATTAAAATATACTAAAATCTGATTTTAATCTACACCAAAAGGAGCATATTCTACTAACCGTGATGGAGGTTCGGCAAAAGTAGAATGATCTAAAAATACGTCAGCTATCATTTCACCGCCACCTGTGATTCAGGGAACATGAGAATAATGTCAGAAAAAGGCTTGAGGGTCCCATTGATAGGAATCCAGAGACTAAGACGGATGCTGATCTAAATTCTTTCAGATTCAAAAGGGAGAAAAAGCAAAAGAGAGAAAAAGGTTACTTATTGAAAACCAAGCTTACCTAAGAAAGGAGGCATCGCAGACAAGAGCTCACTTTTACCATATAAGAATCCGATGCCTGTAGGCCCACACATCTGAAACATGTTTATTTCTTAAATTCAAAAACTCATTTACAAGCTTAAAGAATATGATGCAAATGGGAAAGACTTGACCTTATGAGAAGAAGCAACCAGAAAATCAGCATCAAGGTTCTTAACGTCAACCACCATGTGTGGTACACTTTGACAAGCATCTACAAGGACCTTGGCTCCAACATCATGTGCCCAACTCACAATTTGATTGACTGGGAGAACAGAAGCTGAAGAAAAGATGAAATATAACAATGAATAGATGCAACCGTTATAAGCAGTTTTTGTTGTGGACTCCAAACACAATAAGCCCCTGTATTTTAATCCCCATTTTCTAAAACTCATCCCCCCCCCCCCCCCCCCCCCCCC